AGTTTAAAATATAATTTTATAACTACTTATTTTTCATTCTTGTTCTGTTCTGAATACCGTTCAATTTAAAATATTTGTTGTAGAGTGAGGGGAACTAAATAGGCTGTTTATATTTACCAGTATTTTAATATACATATAAATTACATATATTAATGTAGCCTAATTGTTTGCAATTACAAGGTTAACGGGTGTTTTTGGAGTAAGATCAATTTCTCTTTAGCGAGATTACTTCCTCTTTTTGGCCGGGTTTCGTTTCTCCGTGTCGTAAACTCTAGGGCGAGGCTTCTAAACCAGGGTGTTTTTAGGGGCGTGATATTCAAATGACGATTGTTTTCTGGCGCCACATTTATCAACATGCGATCATTCGTACGATGAGATCGGCGGCATACGAATGTTTCATAAATCACACGTGAACTCTGTCGTAAGTTGATTTGTGCGCACAGATCTGCGCTCGTTTCTACGTTAGATTGATAAATGAGGCCCAATGTATTTTTGGCTATTGTTACAAATATACCCCAGCGACTTAAGACTGGTTTTGTGGTCCAGGGTCACATATAATACCACATTCAACACCATCTATACTACCATTCAATGTTTGGGATCAAAAGAGCAAGATTTTTTTTATTTTAAGAAATTAATACTTTTATTCAGCAAAGATGCATTAAATTAATCAAAAGTGACAGTAAAGCCATTTATAATGTGTCAAAATATTTCAATTTCAAATAAATGCTGTTGTTTTGAACGTCAAAGAATCTTCAAAGTATCACAGATCCCACAACAATATTAAGCACCACAACTGTTTTCAATGTTGATAATAATAAGAAATGTAAGAGCAGCAAATCAGCATATTAGAATGATTTCTGAAGGATCATGTGTCACTGAAGACTGGATTAATGATGCTGAAAATTCAGCTTTACCATCACAGGAATAAATTACATTTCAAAATAGAAACCAGCTATTTTAAATTGTAATAATATTTCAGGTATTACTGTTTTTACTGTTTATTTTGATCAAATAAATGCTGACTTGGTGAGAGACTTCTTTCAAACACATAAAAAATTTCTTACCAACCCCAAAGTTTTGAATGGTAGTGTATAAAAGAGCAAACATGGGTATTTTATCATTTATAATACTTTTGAGTGATGTCATAAATGAATGAGTCTATTGGGTTGAGTCTATCAGACTTCTTAAAATAAAAATTCAAATCAGCACAACAAATACCTACCCATGAATACTTCACCAGTCAAGTAATATAAAAAGCTTTGTGCATTACAGTAAATATCTATATTACAGTAATGAAACCTGGTGAAAATGTGCTTAATTGTCATAAAAGTTGTGCAAAAAAATTTTCTGGCCCTAAACAAAAAAAGTGACATATGACCCCGGCATGTTTGTGAAAATAGATGATCTCTGCCCTGTCTGTATGTTCATATTTAAAACATTGTGAAAGAAATGAAAATACAGAAACAATATATACAGTGGGTACGGAAAGTATTCAGACCCCCTTAAATTTTTCACTCTTTGTTATATTGCAGCCATTTGCTAAAATAATTTAAGTTAATTTTTTTTCCTCATTAATGTACACACAGCACCCCATATTGATAGAAAAACACAGAATTGTTGACATTTTTGCATTTTGACATTTTGATTTATTAAAAAAGAAAAACTGAAATATCACATGGTCCTAAGTATTCAGACCCTTTGCTGTGACACTCATATATTTAACTCAGGTGCTGTCCATTTCTTCTGATCATCCTGGAGATGGTTCTACACCTTCATTTGAATCCAGCTGTGTTTGATTATACTGATTGGACTTGATTAGGATACAGTCCCAACAGTGAAGCATGGTGGTGGCAGCATCATGCTGTGGGGGTGTTTTTCAGCTGCAGGGACAGGACGACTGGTTGCAATCGAGGGAAAGATGAATGCGGCCAAGTACAGGGATATCCTGGAAGAAAACCTTCTCCAGAGTGCTCAGGACCTCAGACTGGGCCGAAGGTTTACCTTCCAACAAGACAATGACCCTAAGCACACAGCTAAAATAACGAAGGAGTGGCTTCACAACAGCTCTGTGACTGTTCTTGAATGGCCCAGCCAGAGCCCTGACTTAAACCCAATTGAGCATCTATGGAGAGACCTAAAAATGGCTGTCCACCAACGTTTACCATCCAACCTGACAGAACTGGAGAGGATCTGCAAGGAGGAATGGCAGAGGATCCCCAAATCCAGGTGTGAAAAACTTGTTGCATCTTTCCCAAAAAGACTCATGGCTGTATTAGATCAAAAGGTCACATTAAGAGTTTAATCTCATTTCGAGTTCAAGGAAGGTTTTTTTTCTCTGTAATATTATCTTCCTGTACAGAGTGAGAGAGTCAGGCTATGAGTTCCAGACCTGGGCACTGACCCACAAAATGTAATTTTACACTGTGGTGCTCTGATAGGAAGTCAGAGCAAGAGGAAAAGTGCGAGAAAGAGATAGTGAGAATGAATGAGTTGTGAAACGGTGAGAGGAATACAAAATGAACTGGAAAAAACTCTTGAGCATATAACAAATGATTAATTTAAATTTCAGAGACAGCTTGTATCAGTGAAGTGCAGAGCGCGAAGCAACCGTATAGATGATTAAACTCCTAGATATATATAAATAAATTAAATTAAATCAGACCCGGGTGTCAAACACAGCGCACAGGGAAAAAAAAACATGTATATTTTTTACCATTATGATGTATTCATATTCTTGAGTTTCACAACAAAGTTTAATATTCAGGATTAGGGTTTTTTTCATTAAAAATACTGCACTAAAAAGACTCTAGACATGGTGAGTGAGTGCCGGATGCTTACCAAGCCACGTGTTCATCTTCTCTGAACTGCAGTGCTCGAGAAGAGGCTGAATCAACACATCCAGATCTTCTTTAGGAGCCTCTTTAGTGAACTTCTGCTTAGAGCAAGAAAACAAGAGAGTGAGCGAGGGAGAGCACTTTAAAGGACAGAGATTGAGGTCAATGTAGCAGAGCACTGCACTACAATCCTTCACCATTAGCACCTACTTCCATGAGCTTGCTCGGCAGAAATTTCCCAGGCATCTCAGAGGAAACACATCCCAAAAAAAATAAAAATCACAGTAACAACAAGAAAAAAAGTAAAGTGTCACCACACCTCCACAGTTATGTGCAGAGGGTCCACGATCTGCCAGATAAGCAGAGAGAGAACATCAATAGCCAGAAGAACTGCAACGGTCGCATATAGCTTCCACGGCTCCAAGTGCTGCGGCGAAATAACAAGACCATAATCGTTAGTCAATGACACACAGTCGCAAAGCATCAAGACACTAACAATAGACTGCTATACTGTAAAGGGGGAATAAAGTTACATTTATGAATGGTCACAGCAGTTGTAAACATTATTGTAGACTCTGTATGCCGTCGTTATTTTCGGTGGAAGACAAAAGGAGAAAGTTTTGAGGAATCTTAATGTCTTATTTTCATGTGAACATCAAAAAAGTTTCCTTTTTTCAACATTGATGATTAATGAAATTCCTGAGCAGCAAATCAGCACATTAGAATGATTTCTGAAGGATCATGTGAAGACCGGAGTAATGATGCTGAAAATTCAGCTTCGCCATCACAGAAATACATTACATTTAAAAGTATATTAAAACAGAACACAGTTCATTTCAATTGTAATCATATTTATATTATTAATAGTATTTCTGATCAAATATATGCAGCCTTGGTGAGCATAAGAGACTTCTTTCAAAAACATTTGAAAAAATGGATCATTATATTTTGGATTTCTAAGTCTTGCTAAACAATTCCTTAAAAGAACGGGTTAAAAAAGTAATTTGCTAATGAATCGACTCTTAAGAGTCCTTTGTTTGTTTATCGAATTACACTTTTTTTGTTGTATTTATTTTTTGCATGCAGCTTGTGAGAAAGGCGTGTTTTCTTGTCATTATTTTATAGTCTTTTTATCTCGTCACATTCGGTTTAGACTGCAAACCCACATCTGCAATTTGGGTCAACATGATTCCGTTTGTAGGCATTAGTGGAAAAGATTAAGCAGAATGGTTAAAAAAAAAGCTGAAGAAAAGGTAAAAAAAAAACAAAAAAACAACGAAAACACCATAAAAGCAATACGATGGCTTTGTGTGAGAAACAGATTCTTGCAAAAACATGCAGCAATGCAAATTATCGGTGAACAATGACTATTGTATGATTTCAGAAGACTTAAAATACAGCATATAAGCCATATGAACTACTTTAATGGTGATTTGTTTTGGGGGTTTTTGGAGCTTGAACGTCATTGCATGTCGAGAGATGTTTCTTTAAAAAGTTCTATTTTTACGTTCCACAGAAAGAAAAAAAAAACCTTGAAGTATATGGGTTTGGAACGAAACGAGGGTGAGTAAATAATGACAGAACTCTTTTTAAGAATCACTGCATTTGTGCTGTTCTGAATAACACGTTTATTTTCCTGTCAAGGTAAACGACGGAATTGCTTTGACACCATTACAATTGTGTTTACGCCGCTGCATGGTGGGTAACAGGAAAGCGGAATGCCAATCATCAGCAAACATGACAAAAGTCATGTGTTACAAATGCGGAGTTATTTTCAGTTCCCATTCCATCCATTAATCTCTGGCTGCAGGCTCCCTCCGGGCCGTCAGACTGGGAAAACAAGTTTCACTGCACACTTTCTCCTCTCTCTATCTCCTTTAATCACCGTGAAGACGTCAAATGACCCGAGAGCCCCCCGTTTCTTCCACATTCAGCCTGAGCGCCGAACTTTCTTCAAGTGCTGTCGAACCACTTAGGCAAATTGCCCCATTACGGGCATCGGGAGAGTTGAAAGTCATCTCGATTCGTCGTGCAGAGCGCTTGAATAATAAAGCCCCCTGAAGGTCGGATTTCCGTAAAAGAAGTTTAATGCTCATCCATATTCATTCATATTCCATAGTTGGGGTAATCTGGTTGTGGTTTGATGAGGTTTTAGGGTTTCCCTAATGCCGTGTCGTATTGCTTTAGGACACGGGATCAGAGCGAACACACGTGTCAAGATGCTAATAGTGTGTTTGTGTTGTGTAAGGAAAAAACGGACAGAACTTCTCTCAGCAAGAATATGCGAGAAGAGGGGGAGGTTCTATTTCATGCTGGGAAGCTTCATCTAACGCTGTAGAGTCAGCGGTGCAGGATTCTTTTATATGCAGTAGATAACAATGAATTCGGTGGCACTGCATAACGCAAGCACGCTGCTCGTTACATTTGCAGATTCTGCAAAATTATCTGAAAATAATTAAGGGGATACTGAAAAATGCAAAGTCTCGTGCAAAGTCTATAGCCCTGTCATCACTCTAATTAAACCAAATGTCATTTATTTTAAATTCATTACTCAATTCACCCAAAAATTACAATTCTGTCATAATTTACTCACCCTCACGTCATTCAAAACTTGTAGTTTTCTTTCTTTTGTGAACCACAAGTAAAATATATTTACACTGCCACCGTCTTTTGAAATAAATTTTAATAATAATTAATTATTAATATTTTATTGTGTGTGTATATATATATAT